AGGTCAAAAGGTCAAGATCGGGGTAGGTATATAGTGCACAGCAGACGACAGCGAGCGTCAAACAAATCTATTAGGGGTCACTTCGCTCAAGACTTCAATTTCAAAGGCGGCATAAATACACTGACCCCCCATGATGGGTTTCTCAACACTTTCCTTGACAGTGCGAGTCCTTCTCCTGTATGCAATAGTCCTGTCATTTTAGCTCGCTCTTCTCAAACATTAAAGCAAAAACATAAAGGTTAAATTATTTTGTTGTGTATGGAGATGCAGCTAGAAGTGGAATTGCTCAAGGTCTTATATTTCGCAAAATTGACTCGTGTGAGGTTTAAGCCATGCTAAAATGTTACCTCACCAAAAACATACCTGGAGTTGTGTTTCTTAGTCTGTTTATTAGTCCGTCCACATTTCCAGAGCTCAAAATGTTCTGCTTTGGCATGTCATGAAGCAGTAGTTTTCACATTAACAGCTCCTTTTACCTTTTGTTTAGTAGAGATTTGCAATTCCAGGGCTGAATAAAAGTGAAAAAATGCATAGCACACTCAGGTGGCCGACGTCCAAAAGCTTTTATTTTTATTTTTAAATGACGTTTTGGCAAAAAAAAAAGCCTTCACCAGATCATTTTTCTTGCATTGGACCACAGTACTGTCATTTTGCTTTTCCTTGCGTTTGCACCTCTACAAGAACTTTGGTGTGCATTTTCTGTTTCATTTAATTCCAGGACTGAAATCATTCATTCTAATGACAGTGTATGGAGTTTAAAAATGCAGTGGAGCACTTCTTGTATTACCACATGACATTACAAGGTAGAACAGAGTGTTTTCAGTGTGAGGGAAGTATAAAATATATACTAAATATTCAGCTTTTGTTTGTTAAACATGTGTGAATGAAACAATACACAACTCCAGGTCTGTTTTTAATGAGGTAACAATATTGTAACATGTCTTAAAGCTCGTGATCAGGGGCGGCGCTAACATAAGGCAAAGTAGGCGGCTTCCTAGGGCCCCCAAACCTGGAGGTCCCCCCAACTAGTTTCCCTCAGTGCTTCTAATGGCCGTGATCTCAGAACAATTAGATTTTCTCTCAAAATTACATTAAATGAGAGTATTTTACTTGTAAACAATAATCATAAGAAAAATAATAATAATCATGTGTAATGGATATAAACAAAAATGTAATACATGCATCCGGAATTTTGGACTTCGCCGGTCATCGCGCAGTGCATACTGGGAAAGGATCCTCTGAAAAAGTGAGCATCAAACCGCCATGTTTGATTTCCCAGTTGTCAAAGCCAATATTTTCAAGTCTTTTGAACCATATCGCTTTTGTTTCTGGTTCTGATATTGTCATATTTTAGTTTCGATCATCGATATTGTGTGGTTGTTGGATGTCTTAGCAGCGGAAAATGGCCTTCGGAAGTTTGCGAGCTTCATAAATGCAAAAAAAAATGCAGTTCGCAAACTGCTGAAGCCCATTTTTTGCTGTTAGGACATCCAACAACCACACAATTACGTTGTCTGAATCCCATAACTAAAATATGATCATATCAGAACCAGGAACAAATGATTTGGTTCAAAAGACTTGAAAACATCGGCTTTGACAATAGACGCATCCCACTGGGTAATCAAACATGGCGGTTTGATGCTCAGTTTTTCTGAGGATCCTTCCCAGTAATTGATGCCTGGAAGTCCGAAATTCAGATTGCATGTATTGTTGTAACAAAAAAATAAAACTACTTTCAGTTCTGGTTGTCTAGTAGGCGACCTAACTAATAAGACAAGTTTCCAATCCAACATAATTCAAATAAATAGAGATGTGTGTGTCTGAAGAACAATGAGGAAAAACAGACAATAAATATATTAAAACAAAACAAAATAAAGTAACTGCATTATAGTGAGGGCCCCAAACTCAAGTTCATCTAGGTCCCCCAAATTCCAATTCTGCCACTGCTCGTGATTCAATTTTGAGTCAATTTTGTGTAATATATGAGACCTTTAATAACATATGGTAGATCTATAACATAACATAGATCAGAAAATAGCGTAATATAGACTCTTTAAACAGTTTCTTATTTTTTTAAAACTCAAACAATGTAGATAATGTAATTGGTGTAACAGCATATCATGTTGAGTAGCACAGGCACCCAAACATTGCCACACAAGAAGGGTAAAAGACTCCGGGGAATGCTGAGAGAGCCTGGTGAAAGTGTGGCCCCCTTTGCTCTTGGATTCCTTCGACAGCCAGACTGCGCCTCGCTCATGGACAGATGGGACACGCGGCATATGTTCGGAGTTTAGACACTCCGGCGCATTGTTCCGTATTAGTCATGCACATTACTGTCATGCTACGAGCTGCTAATCCTGTTGCTTTTCCAAATGACTTTTAAATTTCTTTTAGATTTCTTTTAAAATGACTTTTTCCTTGGTACGCGCCGAGCCGAGGAAGGTTTTATAATAGCAATGTTACTGCGAGGGAGAGTGCACTGTACCACACTTGTCAGATGACCTTTAATAAGAGGCGTGAACTTTAGTATTTTGAGCGGCCTGACCCCATTGGACACAGGGAGAGGCTATTTCAGGTTCAAATGAGTGTGTGTGTGTGTGTGTGTGAGTGTGTGTACGTGTGTGTGTACGTTGTCAACATTTTCCCAGAGATTGCATCAGGTTGTTAAGACTGCCAGATTCACATTGGAGACCAAGTTAGCAGTCGTATTGTTGTCGTTGTCATAAATGCAAGAAGAACATGAAAGGTGACGTTGATTTGTCCTTGCGATGGATGCACTTTTGAGAGGAAGCCAGGAAATAGCCAGGAGCAAAAATAGCATTGAAATATATATAAACAGACTGGAGAGTTGTCTTCAAATAACAAAACAGAACAATGATGTGGAATAATACTGTAAATCGTTAAAAAGTTTTGCACATTTCACTTCAGTATCGTGAGAATTAGTCTAAAACGAAACTTTTCCTTGGGCTGAACTGATCTCCCATTTGTATGTTGTACCTGTTTTGTGACTGTGCATCTGAATTATCTCGACTATCTGAGATATTAACATTTGTTTAATACAGATGTTCATTGTCTAAAATAAATAAATAAATAACCAATCTAAAATATATATTATTTTTCTATCTACAAACTTTTTTTTTTTTTTTTTTTCAACTGTTAATGCTTTTAGACTTTGAAATTTTCAAAATGCTGGTATGACACCACAAAAGACTGGATATGATGGTTAAGGGGCTTATATTCCGCAAATAATAAAAATAATCCTTTATTAAATATAGAATTTATTTATAAAGCACTTTTAAAAACAAGGTTTACAAAGTGCGGTACAAGCGGTAATGAACAATACAAAAAACATACAAATAGCATTCAGAAAGTATACAAAAACAGACAATGATGCAAACAATCCAATCATTTACCATATTTTTCGGACTATAAGTCGCTCCAAACTATAAGTCGCATCAGCCAAAAAATGCATAATGAAGAAGAAAAAAAAACATATATAAGTCACACTTTTTGGGCGAAATTTATTTTCATAAAATCAGAGACCAGGAACCGACATTTCATCAAAGGCAAGTTATAGAAAAAACAATAGAACAGAGAACAACAGACTGTTAACGTCACATATGAACAGTTCTTCAGATAATTATAACATAAACAACAGAACAGAACAAGTTTACCAAACTCTCCATCTCACTCCAAATCAATAAATGCATTGAATTGTTCATCCTCAGTGTCACTTCTGATCAACTCCACGACCTCCAGAGGTAAAAGGAGCACCGCATCCTCTTCTGTGCAACTGTCGTCAGACTCAGCATCAGTTCCAGTTAGAATTATTCCGGCCTTTCTGAATCCCGACAGGATGGTTTCAGTTGTCACTAAAGTCCAGGATTTGTCGATCCATTCAATGACTTCTATTAAAGTTGCAGTTACCATGAAGCTGTGTTCTCCATCCCTGCTTTCCGCCAGTCCCTCATAAGTTTCTCAGTCACTCCAAACTTTTTTTCTGCAGCTCAAATACCATTTTCGACTGAATATGTCACTACTTGCAGGAGACATGCACAGTAGATCCGAGTGATCGTGGTACAGGACTAATAGGAGGAGCAGATACTGGCACACAAGACTAGAGTCTCTCAGTCTGTCAGTGTGAACATTTTAATATATAAGTCGCACCAGAGTATAAGTCGCAGGAAACACCCAAACCATGAAAAAAGTGTGACTTATGGTCAGAAAAATATGGTATAATACATAAATAAAAAGGAATAGAATAAAAAGAAAAAATAAATCAAATCAAGCTAAAACCAGTTAAAGGAAGGCCAACTGATAAAAACTGGTAATGTTTCTGCATCACAAACTTACCTGGAACTGTGTTTCATTTGCACATGTTTAACACACAAATCCTGAAATCCTTCAAATGAAAAACACTCTGTTCCACCTTGTGTCATGTGGTTATACAGGAAGTGCTCCACTGTGATTTTAAACTCCACACACCTTCACTAGAATCATTTGGATGATTTTAACCCAGAATTTCCAATTTCTACTGAACATTTGGATGTGAATGAAACAACACAACTTATTATAACAGGAGTCAGATTTGCACAATATTGGACCTTTAAAGTAAACATTATTATTAAAACTGTAATATAAATATGTACAAATATATAATGTGGCTCAAGAACCTTTGTAATACTTTGATTACAAATTTAAATGTTCAGTTCATCCCCAGACCACACACCAGACATCGTACTGAAATGTTGACACAGTTACAAATCGACAATGGCTTCGGTCTGTGTTTTATCCTCTCAAAATTGTCATTGCCAACTCTTGACTCCAAAGCGTAACATTCATTTGCCCTTGTGTGCGCTTTGCTTTTGAAGTGAAGCCAGGAAATAGCCAAGAGCAAAGATGTCGGCCAAGGCAATCTAATACCTTTGTTAATCCTTTATCTAACCCCCATCCTCTCTTTTCTCTCTCTTTCTCTCCCTCCGTCTCTCCATCTTTTCCAGTCCCCCGGAATCACGGACACAACGCGGTGCTGGGGATCGACTTTGACATTGAGCTCGGCAACACGGCGGACGAGAGCAAGGACGACCCAGGTAAACAAATACAGTATGTACACAAACAGCAGCCAATCAGATCGCTCCGCTCGTTACCGACTACAGAGGTGGCGGGCGATCACGGTTTCTTGTAATGATGTGGCGTTCCTGAATGAATGGGCTTTTTTGAACCTTTTCTTAAAGATGCATTGTGTGACTTTTCTGGTGGAGGGTCTGTCACCTGTTTGTTTCTATGGAGATGTCATTGCTCTGCCTGGAATATTCCACAGTATGACATTAAACAGATCTGACTTACATTTATTCAGTTACAAGTGGTTTTATAGCTCAAAAAACAAAACAAAAACAGGCAGGGTCACCTCTCCACAGATCTGACCTGTAACTTGGTCTGATTTGGTTGCCATGAATATAGGAAGGTTTAATACTATACTTTGGAACGTTCCAGACAAAGCAATAACATTAAGCATGTGACGGGCTCTCCACCAAAAGTTACACAATGCTAACTTTTTTTTTTCAGGAGCACACGTGCCCTAAGTTAAAAATTTAAATAAAAATAACTTAGGGGCACAGAAAAACAAAAGGGGGTTTTCGTTTTCAACGTTTATTACAGTGCAGAACTTGCACACACCAATACCAGCTTACTTAAATGAATTTTATACAACAAACAAAAGAATTATTATGACATTACTTTTCCTGTATGACAGTTTGCAGTTGGGTTAGACCAGGTGTGTCCAAACTTTTTTCATCAAGGGCCACATATCTAAACACAGATGAAGCAGAGGGCCGATTGAGGCCCGTAGACTGGAGCTCAGTACAATGAATAAATGAAATATGTGCATGTTTAACACATTAGAATGAACCATCAGTCTTTATTCATGCTAAGATCCTTAAAATCACACACTGTATATTCAATATTAGCTTTATCAAGGTAGATTTTCAGAAAACTTGCAGTAAAAAAAATGTTTTTTTTTATTTGATGCAAGGTCATTTGGACCATTTCACCTGGAAGTCTGAGGGCCAAGAAAAAATATGTCTGAGGGCCGCATTTGGCCCCCGGGCCATAGTTTGGACATGCCTGGGTTAGACTCTTGAGTCATGGATTTCATGGTTTCTTTCTACAGACTAATTAACATAAAATTGAACAGAAAAATATTACACTCCAGAATAAGTTTAGACAAAAATCATTCATAATTGGTAGACCAGGATTTGTAATTAGGTCGATGTGACCTTGTCTATGGCCTGCACTCACACCGGGCTGCGGCCTGGTGGTGTTGTCACTCTGTGCTGTTTGTTTGCATGATGTGCAGCAGAGCTTTCACTTTGGTGGAGGAGGAAGTCCAGCGGCATGAGACATGTATTGAGTGGTGGGGCAGGTGTGGGTCCTGCAGTGGTGCACGCTCCTCTGTGGGTTTGTAGATGTAGTGACGACACAGAGGTGTGGGAACACAACTTTTGTCGCCATCCACAGTCTTCGCTGAAGACCGAGAGTTTGCCATGGAGTTTTGGAGTTTGTTCGCTGTTTTCCTCGTATGAAATACTAGTGAAATGGGCGCACTGCAGAGCCCTGGAGTTTTTACGCATTCACCAGGTTGGACTACTCATTTTACTAAAACACACTTAAGATCATTACATTTAAGATTTAGCAAAAAAAAAATATCTAAAGTTCTTTTCCCACTTTGGCCATTTTTAGGTATAAAATTGTACTTCCTGGTTGGAAATCATCAGATCACACTAGGGAATTCCAAAACTCTTACCAAGCAACTATATTATACTGTGGTCTAAAACTCCTCTAATGTACACACAAAATATTATTTAACAAATAAAAAATAGAAGAAAACACTTACTTTGTTGAAATCATGTTTAAAGTATCAGAAAAATGTGTTTCTTTTGTGTAAATTCTGCCAAACCTTTGGACAGAATTCTCCAGTGTGATGTCAGTACAGAACTCTCTAAAATAAACTTCCTGTAATGTTCAACATCATTTTCAACCTTTCTACACAAATTGCATCTTGATTGGTCTATCTATCATTTATATTTACAGCAGGTGTTATCCCACTGAATTAAGACAAAATTGGAGAATGATCAAACCCTGCCATTCACACTTAAACGTGAGCAGCTGGATCTGAATCTTGAGTTTGGGAAAGAGCCAAATCTTTTTCTTTCTAATTTTTATGCATTTTTATCCTCATTAATGCTGACTCAACACAAGAATCAGCACTGAAGCTGAGTATAGCGGCACAAGTGAGAGCTTTGTGCACAAAAAGCATATTTGACATCATAATAATAGTTCATTTTAAAAATTATTATTATTATTGTAGTGCAACGTTTTATTTAGATTGTGTCTCATTTGAAAAGGTAAACACACTTTGAACCATTTTAAACAAATGCTTTCATTTCCAATCATTTCTCACTCTGATTAGTTTGCAGATAAAGTTCTCACACTGACTTCTCTCACATAAATAAATTGTACAAGAGTCTTTTGTGAGAGAGAGATACTTTATTGATCCGGAGGGAAATTCAAGTTTTGCTGCAGCAACATTTACGCTGCTGTTCTCAATGTCCTTTGTTTTCTCAGTTAAAAGTCTCAGTGCAGTTTAACAGAAGGACTGGTTAGGTAGGGTCAGCAGATCCAGTGTCAGGGCAGTTTGAGGAGCAGAACAGCTCTTAGGACAAAAGTGTCCCTCATCTGCAGCAGCATCACAACAGCCTGCAGAGGAGCCAGATGAACACAACAGGAAAGGCCTTGTTCTTATTCCGCTCTGTTGTTTGTTTTTTGTTTGTTGTTTTTTTTAAAGAAATCGCTCATTCCCTCAAAGTGTTTTCTTCTGGAAGGTCTTTTGGCAGCAGTAGTTCAGATGGTAGAGCGTTTGTCCACTGATCCAAAGTTCAAATGCCATGTTCGACATAAAACATCATCGTTTGAGTGGTCAGATCCACTGTTGGCGGTTTGATTCGAGCTCCCACAGATGAATGCTGTTGCTGTGTCCTTGGGCAAGACACTTAACCCACCTCCCCCCCCCAGTGTCTGCGTACACTGGTGTATGAATGTGTGTGTGAATGGGTGAATGGTTCCTTGTTGTGAAGTGCTTTGAGTGCCTTGAAGGTGGAAAAGCGCTGTATAAAAATGTGACCATTTACCATTTTACCATTTGCTGCAAAATATGGTGTAAAAAGCCTGTAGCATCTCATAGCTGGCTGCGTAGCTGTCCTCTTGCAGTACCCATGAATATCTGAAAAACAAAAAGCTCATTTCACCCATTTCAGCGGTCCCTCACTTAAGTTTCAAAAACAAGGTAGCCACAAAAGCAGCCATCCACTCCGTTGCCATGGGATGCAATGATGAACGGCTCTTTGAACAGATCCAAAAGATTCGGATCCCGCAAAAGAGCCGAAAGTCACATCACTAGTTTGCTGGGGTAAAATGAAAGTGCCAATCATGTGCGGTGGGAGATGGGCCTGACCAGATGTGTTTTGATAGGGCAGCAACAGGAGGTGACAGGGAGCATCTGCTGGTGTTCAGTGAGAGTGATGGATCCGGGCCCAGAGCGCGCTGCCAGACACTTCCACTTTTCACATTAGGATCGCCTGATTGCTCCACTGCCCCGATGACTAATTGATCATGTTGAGAGCACTTCTTGAGATTTAATGTGGACCTCATGTAGAATGGAAATGGGAGCAGTGTCTTGAAATATGGGAGCTGATGTATTGGTGTCACTCGCACGCAGCTGGATGAATGCATAATGTTGTACAGCAGCCTTTCAGAACGGAGCTGTTTTAGCGTCAACAGTTAATCAATGAAAAAGGATGCGAGATTTTAAAAGAATGAAATGGTTTAGACAAAATTGAAGGTCTTGGTGCAGCACAACAGGTGGAGTTTACTGTCAGTTGATCAAGTGTCAGTGCAGTTTGACGAGAGTGACTGTAATAATAACGAGTAATCCTGATAGATATTAGTCTGTTTACATCTTCAAAGCTCAAAATGATCATCAGTTACCATAGTGACACAATCTGCAGTACATAGCAAACATTGGCACAAAACGTTTTAAAATCATCTGAAAACTTATGAAAAAATGTGGCTGTGATGAAGATGAGTGTTCATAATCCATTATCATTTGTTCATTTGTTTTTCAATATAAAACCAAAAATAAGAAATCAAAAAAGAACTATTTTCTTCATTATTTGTCTCCAAAACCAAAATGAAAAAACAGATAACGATTAGTTTTTTTCAGTTTTCGATTCTGTGTTTAAATGAGTAATAGAAAAAAAAAAAAAAAAAACGAGCGCCAGAGTGACCCGAGTCTGCGGACAACACGAAGCCTACTGCCCGAACCTGACCCGAACCAAAATCTTCCCTACATGTTTGTATAATGGGGAACTCTTGCACATGAGAGCTGCTCTCTGACTGTATGAAGAACAGAATAATGCCCGTGCCAGTCCCAACCCAGACCCACACTCACAGACCCAGACCCACACTCACAGGTGAGCAGTTTGGATGTTTCGTGTGGACTTTAATTGGTAGAATAACATCTGTATCTGATTTGTTTCGTGCTAAATCTGTGTCCTCGTATCCTCGTGTCCCTCCCTTGCTCCTTTCCCTCTCCAGGGGAGGGCATCTGAATCTCTCGCACGTGCTCATAATTTGACCATTCAGATCAGCGCGTGCACGTATCTATGTGTATATGCAGATATATACAGGGCCAGTCCACACACACATCATAGACAGACTTAAAAATATAGCGATAAAACTCTTGAAACAGCGAAAAAAACACATGGGCTTTACTGCAAAGATGTGCTGCCTAAATATTATGAAATATGATTAAATGAACAGATGAGTCATTGTTGTCACTTTTAGTTTTGTATTTATTTATTAAACCTTGTTTAATAAAGTCTTTAATAAAGTCTTTGTCGTGATCACGTGGTGCTGCGTGGAGCGTCCTCCTCCCTCTGTCCCGCGTGTCTCGGTCAAACCCACTGATTATCGGCTCATGTTTAGGGAAATCTCATTCACGAGTCCCTTTACATGCTCCTTTTATGGTGAGGTGGAGGTGTGGAGAGGGCGTGACGTGACGTGGGTTTACGTGCGCAAATTCTAGTTGCAGCAAAGATTAAAGCAAAGATTACGTGGTTTGGTGCGTGTGTGGGTTTTCTAAATATGGAGTTTGCGTGGCGCACGCCTGTCGTAGCTACTAGGCGTACGCACTAACTTACGACAACTCCTGCGCAGTTTTTTTATAAATGAGGCCCCTGGTCTGGTCTCAGTCCCAGTCTAAGTCCTGGTCTCAGTCCCGGTCTGATTCTGGTCTGATCCCGGACCTGGTTTAGTCCGTGTGCAGCGCAAAAGTCCGGCATTGCAGTTTAAGTCACGGAAACGGGAAATGGCCACTATCCAGTTTTATCCATTTTTCATTTAAACACAAAATTGAAAACTGAAAAAAAATAATAATCTGGGAAAAAAAAAAAATCTGTCAAGTAACTCGAATCTAATGAAGCACCTCACATCGTCACATGCTGATAGACCTCTCCCTGCTGTTCACCCTGAGCCCTGGTGCAGAGCTCAAGCAAAGATGGAGACGGAGCCACTGCATTAAAACAAGACAAACTCCATTTTTCGGGCAATAGTACATCACATGAAAAATACTAATAATTACTTACTTTGCTGACAGCATGGTAACTGAGTAACCAACTCAGTTACTTTATGGGGGAAGTAATTTGTAACCGTAACTACATTTTTTAAGTAAAATGCCCAACAGTGGATACAAAGGACACCCAACCAAAAAGTCACACAGTGCCCCTTTACCAACACAAATCAGCTCACCCGGTATAGTTCCAGCTGAGGCACTTCTTTCTGGTCAGATTGAATTCAAATAAAGCACATATTAAAGTCTAATAAAGCCTCAGACAGAGCAGAGCCTACAGTTAGCGTCACACCCCCAGGAAATGTTGTATACGTCAGCTTCAAAGTATCAGTAGTGTTCCATTTGTCACTGATCTAACATTAGTTTCCTAGAGTCCACATGGAGACAGTATCTTGGCATATTCCTCTGCCGTGATTTTGTACTGTATATCGATGTCAGTTTCAGAGCAATGCAGATTAAATCACCCAATTAGATGCGTGTTTACTCAGATTTTCTTGTCTCATTTTTTAGACACCGTCAGGGGAGACAGCGTTGTCAGTGGCTCAGAAAATGAACTCAAGTTTTCCTGTAAATCCTCCGGCTTTGGGGACATAGTGATGGATGCTCTTCCTCATGCGGAGTCATTTGTAAAAGCGGTGCATGGATAAAGCTGCATTTGTTGTGGCTGTCTCTGTTTTATTGTTCAGACATCATCACTATGTATGGGTTTTACATAGATGAATGAACCCGTTGTCATAGTGATTAACAATTTAAAACTCAATATTAAACAAGACCTATTGTGCTTGGGCCTGATATAGTTATAATATATGACATCTGTGGATCGTTACGTTATAATTTGGACATTTTAAATCGCAATATTGATCTAAAATGACTAAATAAAAGATATTTATTAAGTCGTTCAGAAAACCTCGGTGCCCAACGGGAGCTGACGTCGACGTAAACACAATAATAATAAAGAGTGGTGAAGTTGTTTGCAGATCACACCAGCGAGTACCAATTTTTCACAGATTAAGAAGATAAAATTGTAGAACAAAGTTGAGCAGTGGGCGTAAGAACGACGGGGGGGTTGGTCGGCAATATGGCGTCTTGAAAATAAGCGATTAAAGATTCGCAAATCACTCCAAATTACAAATCACTCCAGAGTTAAAAGCTCGGAAAAGTTAATGTTGCATAATAGGTCTGCTTTAAAACTAAAATAGTATCAATTCAAAAGTTAAAGGAACAGTTCAGAATTTTGGACATAGGACCTCATTTTCTAGTGAGCCAGAGTGTTGGATACATGTGGAGACACTTTTTAAAATATTGCATCCAGTCCTTGTATTTGCAGAGGTCGCTGGTGCTAGGCTAGTGCATGTCAATGGCCATAGTTATCCTGCCACTAACAACAGTCTTACGCACTCCACAAAGCACCCGAAGCAAATCTAATATTACGCCAGACTGTCGATGTGAATGTCTGTGTTGATGGAATAATTTTAGAAGTAAAACCAACTTTGCATTTGAAGGATTTATGTCAGAGCAGCAGCAGCGAGTTGTACTTCCTGATAGAAAGCTTGGCAGCGGCGGACTGATATATGAGAAAATAGTCCCTCAACATGCGACAATTCATGCGATGCAAGGTTAGTTTTATTTCAAACATTATTCTATCAACACAGACATTTACATTGATAGTCTGGAGTAATAATTGTTTTGCTTTGGGCGTTTTGTGGAGAGGGTAAGACTGTTTTTAGTGTCAGGCTAACTATGGCCATTGACACGCACTAGCCTAGCACCAGTGACCTCTGCAAATACAAGAACTGGATGGAATATTTAAAAAGTGTCTCCACACGTCTCCAACACTCTGGCTCACTAGGAAATGAGGTCCTCTGTCCAAAAATTCCGAACTGTCCCTTCAAAGTTTTCTTATGTTGCTCCAGTTAGTATTTCAGTGTTTATGCTTACATTTTATCATGTTTCATTAATTTTTTTTTTTTTGATGTCAGTAACAAATTAGTAAAAAACTGAAGAGAAACATCCAAATGTATTTTTAATATATACGTAATTTGTAATTAATAAGTAACTTCAAATATACAAGACAAGTTGGGCAATAACAAAAAATAGATGTAACAAATGTTCTAATGCCACTGACAGAGTGAAGTAAAGAATATTAAAACATAACTAACTAACTAAATAAATAAATACATAAATAATAGTAAATAAGCATAGAATACATTTCATATGCAGGGATTATCTGAGTTCATATTTATTAAGCAAACTTATAGTGAAGACATAAAGATAAGTTCATTGTCCAACAGGGGAGATACTGTAGTTCATTGTTCATAAAAGGGTTAAACTTCTTGTTCCTAAGGGGTTAAAGTTCATTGTCAGGTATTTTTAAATTTCAAAAGCCATAGGTCAGGTTTTGGAATAAATAATAGAATCTTTAAAAATCTTGTCAGCTTGCCAAGACAACTAATTACTCTCTTGCCTCACATTATATTGTAGTCTTTCATATCGCTTTACAAGGTCTGCCATCAGCTTGTCTCCATGGTGAGGCTATTGTTTTTTCGTTTCTTTTTGTGAGCAGGGTCACCTCTCCACAAATGTGTCCGGAAACTTTGACTGGTGGCGTCACTTGCTTGTCTCCATGGAGATAGTTAAGCGAGATTTGCAATTCCAAGGGCTGAAATTATCCACATGATTCAAGTGAAGGTGTATGGAGTTTAAAAACACAGTGGAGCACTTCCTGTATTACCACATAACATCACAAGGTGGAATCAGAGTGTTTTCTGCTTGAGAATTCAGCCTAAACATGCAGGATTTGGATGTTAAACATGTGAGAACGAAACAAAACACAACTCCAAGTATGTTTGTGACTAGAAAACAACATTATAACAGATCAGAAAATAGCATAACATCGGCAATTTAAGTTTGTCAAAAATGTGGCTATAAAATGTTTCCTGGATGTGTATTCTTAGTCTGACTATTTTGTCTGCTTTGTGGATGTGGCCAAGCTTTGTTGTTACCCACGAATGTACCATAATTTCAGGCCTTCTCTGCACAATCTGTTTCAAAAACAGGTTTAAAAATGCTTCTTTGATTCTGTCTCAGGTGCGGGCTTCCTCAGCTGCTCCTTTGATGATGGACTGTGCGGCTGGATCAGGGACAAAGATGGAGACGTGCACTGGGAGACGACGCCAGATCCATCAGGTGAGGCCAGAGGTCACTTCTTTATCACAAAATTCAGTTGTTCTGGAGTTTGCTGTTGCCAGAATTTAAACAGACATATCAAAAGACACAAACAAATTTACAAATGTTCATTATTGGTTAAGTCCTCTTCCAGCAGTATTGGCTGTGTGACTGAAAAAATACCAACACTTTTTGATGTTACGTTTGTGCTGTTTTGTTTTATGTTGAAAGAACCAGTTTTTGGAAAGGTGAACCATTCACCAGGTCAAAGCAATGCAGCGTGACCTTCTCCTGCATTTTAAACCATACAGTATGTTCTTAAAGATGCAGCCAAAGATGTTCATTTTGTCTTCTTATGTACTTTAACATGGGTTCTTTTTAAAGACAATACAGTAAAGTGTGTTTACCTTGTTGACATGTTTCGGCTGCTCGCTACAAACCATCTTCAGAACTGTCACCGGTGTTGGTGGTGACGTGTTGTGTATCAGATGTTGTTACTTCCTGTAGGCGTGGTCAGCCTGATGGAGTTGGCAGGTCGCTCAGACTGACCATGTCTTCTCTGGAGGAGGGTGTCCCAGGTGTGTGAAAGCAGGAACGCTCTGTCATCACGGTTAATGCTGTCCGTGCCTCGTTTCCTGATTTCAATGGCCTCTCTGATGCCAGGCGCCTACAGGAAGTAACAACATCTGACACGTCAACACTAACACTGGTGATAGTTCTGAAGATGGCTTGCAGCGAGAAGCCGAAACATGTCAACAAGGTAAATATGTTTTATTGTATTGTCTTAAAAGAACCAAAGAAGTTAAATATGCAGTACATAACGTTTCTGATGTGTGGCTCTAGCAATGTACTGCAGTTCTCAGTCATCTTTGTGTCTCAGTCAAAGGCCTCAGTGCAGTTTAACAGAACGACTGTCCAGGGAGGGTCTGAAGATCCTGTGTCAGGGCAGTTTCAGGAGAGCGAAAGTGCTCTGGACAAAAGTGCTCCTCCTCTGTGTCCTGCAGCATCACAGCAGCCTGCAGGGGGAGCTAAGTGAACACAACAGGAAAGCTCGCTCTCACCCCGCTGTGCTGCTGCGGTCGCTGATTCCTCTTGAGTATTTCCTTCTGGTCATTTAAAAAGCCTGTAGCAGCTCGGAGATCTTTAGTAAGCTCCTCTTACACGGTCTCCATGGATACAGGAAAATCAAACAGTTCACTTCACACAATCCAACAGTCCCTTACTTGTGCCCTTTGACCTGCAGACGCTGCACTTCTTAGTAGGTTAAAATCATATGATATGATGTTAAAAACTGAGATAAAAATCCAAACATTTCAAAAACTGCTCAGTGTGTGAGCCAGGTGTCCACTAAGGCAGCCAGCAAATAAATGCATAAAGAATCTTTAAACCATGTATTCCTTTATCTTATTGTGAGAAGGGTTGCTTCTCCACAGATCTGACCTTTAACTTGGCTTTACTAACCTCACCTCACATACCCTCCACGAGAAAAGTTAAATAGTGCACCTTTAGAAGTATAATTACATAACCTATAGATCCCGTGTCATTGTTCTCGACAGGTTTGTTTGTCTTTGTGCGTATAAAGTAATGCACATAATAAGACATGCATGTGTGATTAAAGTGAAATGTGATCGTGTTTTGTTTGGGTTCAGATGAGGAGAAGGCCCAGAGGGGAGAGGGTACAGACTAAACAGAGCAGCGTTTAAGGGAGTGGATTCAGTGAGAAGTGATACTAGACTCATTTCACAACTTTAGGACCAAATATAGAAGTTCTTCCTCAGTCTGCTTTCATTATTCTAAATTAATGTGTTGCATAACTTTAAATGTACATTGTGTAACCTTTCTGGTGGAAGAATCGTCACCTGCTTGTTTCTATGGACATGTGATTGCTCTGCTTCGAATGTTCCACCTTACATTTATTAAATCACAGATGGTTTTATAGCTCAATCAAGAAAAACATGTATTCTGATTGTGAGCAGGTTTGCCTCCCCACAGATCTGACTTGTAACTTTGTCTAGTTTTGGTCCTCATGAAGATAGAATAGATAGGTTTAATGCCATACTGTGAAACATTCCAGACAAAGCAATAACATCTCCATGAAGTCCAAACCAGACCAATTTACAGGTCAGATCTGTGAAGAGGCGACCCCACTCACAATCAGGATACATGTTTTTCTAGCTGTTTTTGAGCTATAAAACCGTCTGTAATTAAATAAATATAAAGTAGAGCTGTTTAATGTCATATAGTGGAACATTTCAGGCAGAGCAATGACATTAGTCTGATTCATCAGCCGGTTTCACTTCGTGGAAACCGTCTGACCTCGCAGCATTAGGATTCATTCACTCAAATGTAGGCAGGTACTTTTTTTATTTAACCAATTGCTGCTGTTTTGTCATGATGTATGTAATGCGCCAAATCAAGTCTTTCACCTTGATAAAATTCACAAAACATTCTCTTTGTTCCGGCTTTAAATCCTTGATCTCGGGAATCGGTACCAACACAGAATGTATGGCTTCGTTTACATCCATCTCGACCGCTTTGTTTACTCTTGTGCTGTAAGACAACAGGGACCCAGACAGGCGCTTGAGTTTCACGTCATGGCTTCACAGCTCTTCACTGATTCTACGCTCTTCACGGTCTACAACTTCCGGGGTTCTTGCAAACGTCTATTGTATTCCGATTCCTGACCTAGTCGCTGGAGAGATATTGACCCAAAACATGCTACATAGGTCTCCAAGAACAGTTGATAGATAAGATCAGTTAAATACAATCAATCAATGAATCTGCCCAGGGACGACAGGTGGAAATTAGCAGTGGTGTTACAACCTGGTACAAGGCATCTCTCCTGTCAAGGTTAATGTAAAAATTGTGCCCCTGTCTCAAATAAATAAATAAATAAAATAATAAATAAATTGTGCAGAGACACTAGGTGGCGTTACATAGTGCATTTTTACCCAAAATGTTTAAATCTAGTTTTTTTTTTTTTTTTTTTTTTGGTAAAATCATAAATATAAGTATGTTAACTGTTCCAGTGAAATGTATTCTAACCATTTTGTTATTTATGCACTTGAATAACAAAAATATGTAGGATACCGTTTTGTGTGTTCCCGTCTTACATAACTACATAACAATAATACTCCAGTAATTTACTCAGTCATTCATTAGTCATCCTTTCAAATACGTAGGCTCCATCTGACACTTCCTTAATGCATTTCTTTCACTGTATACAGTAGAAAGCCTGTACCTTCTGTAAGTTACCCCGGTGTGTGGTGTGATTAACAGCTACTTGGCCACACTGCTGTTTAATGTAGACCACAGGCTCATTACTTATGTAGAAAGCCTCAGTGGTGGCTTTCGTGTGGTTAACTCTGAGCTGCTGGCTAAGCAAAACACCGCAACATTAATCAGGCATTACTACTAGAGCTGTTTCCATCAACTCCCCAAAGTGTATTTAAAACTTGCATTTGAATTAATAATGACGGCTTTATGTTTGCGGGTGAAGTTTAATTTCTTTTAGACAGGCCTACGTGTTTTTGTAAACGTTCTTTATTACGGCAAATTGACTTGTGTGAGCTTTTAGGATTCATGTTGGAATGTTGTTACCTGGAAAACAGTTTTTTTCTTTTTCTTCAAACAGGTTTGAGTAAGCTTTTATTATTTGTCTGTCTACATCTCAAAAGCTCAAAATAGTGCTGGGCGATATGGAGTAAAAAATATCTCAATATATTTTTGCTCCATAGCTATACAGGAAAAATAACACCCCAAAAACTACTGCAAAAAACAAATATGCCAAACTCCACAAGGCCTTTTTTTATGGAAGTGCAGAGAGACTGGGTGTTCATGTAAAAACAAAGTGCTTCTGTGACATTTAGAAGAAATCCCTGTATACAAAAATAATGATTTAACTGTATAATAAAGGAAGAAATTATACATGTTGCCTTCTTTTCATTCAAAAATATAACAAGTCAGCTCAAGCTCATGTTTGCATTAATTTACTGCACAGATAAAACCCAATGTTTCTAAACACTACTGTACAAGTTACACTGCCACAGATTATTAATTAAAATCTTCTGCATAAATACATTTTACAGTGCTAAACTTTACAACAGATAAACCATAACAACTATAGAGCCACATCAGAACGTTTGAGATTATGAGATTGAAGATTGAGATTATAATGCAACTTTGCGCACATTTCTTTTTAGATTTTACAGAAACTAAATTTAAAACCACATGCCTCATTTGCATAAACTATAAGCGCTGAAAAAAAAAGCTCGCTCCTTGTGCCAGGCGAGCAGGAGCGAGCACAGAGAAGGCAAAGAAGCGAAGTGGCAAAATCAGAATTCAGGATATATATGATATGTCAGAATCCATTTTGTGTTTAAAAAAATATCTTGATATATTTTAAATATGGAGATATTGCCCACCCCTAGCTCAAAATGCCCTGTTTCATCTTGTGATGTCATGAAGCGGTAAGCGGTTTTCAAGTTAACAGCTGTTTTTTATCTTTAGTTCTCTAGAGTTTGGCAATTCCAGGTTTGAAATTATCCAAATGATTCTAGTGAAAGTGTATGGTGTTTAAAAACACAGTGGAGCACTTCCTGTATTACCACATGACATCACAAGGTGGAAGAGACTGTTTTCTGTTTGAGAGAAGAGCTCAGCCTAAATATGCAGGATTTGTGTGTTAATTACATGTGAATGAAAACAAAAGCTCTCCTTCCCACAGTTCCGACCTGTAACTTGGCCTGGAGGCATTGACCGCTTGCCTCCATGGAGACAGATATGTTTAATGACACACTGTGGAACATTCCAGGCACATCTGAGACATGTCATTTTAAATCTTTTATTTCATTCTGCTGGGACACATTGTGCAAGCTCAGAGCAATGTAACTAGAATCTTCCCAACACCTTGACAGCTTAATTATCAATCATGAAGAAGACCTATTTGAAGCACATTTAAAACCCATTTGGAAGTCAGGCAGAGGCAGTTAGCGGTGACTTCAGACGACAATATTATTCAAATTCACCTGGCAGGGGTAGAAAAGTCAAACACTGAACTGTAGAGCTGCATGATATTGAAAACTTTTCTGATAAGGTTGCTATATATCTATATTATTGCTATATTTTAATATGCTTTTTGTCTCAATTATTTCAGTTAAAGCAGACTTATCACGCAAACTGGACTTTTAAGAGCATTTAGCCTATAGTTGTTTGTTTTAATTACTCACTCGAAGTTGTATTTTGTGCATGTTCTTTAATCGCTTATTTTCAAGACGCTATATTACCGATCAACTCTTGTTTTCACTGTCACTGGTGTACATACCGTAAATTCCGGACTATAAAGCACACCTGAATATAAGCCGCATCAACTAAGGCTACGTTCAGACTGCAGGGCCTAACGCTCAATTCAGATTTTTTGGTGAAATCTGATGTTTTTGTGAGGTCGTTCACATTTCCAATTAAATGCGATTTGTATGTGATCTCCAGTGTGAACTTTAAACGGCCCAAAAGTGTCCCGCATGCGCACTGGAGGACACGACGACGTCAACCGCAGCGAGCGTGCTCTGTGTTTACGGAAGTGGTCCAAGCATGGACGCGAGCATTGAGCACCTGGAGATTTTAAAGTTCCTCTCGTACCGGAGCCAGAACATGAACAACTTACTTGTTTTAAGGAGGAGATTGAGAAGGAGAAGGACGAGGTTTTTGGCCGTGGCGTTTTGTGGGTCAGTGGCGGCAACGTCCGTTGAAAGGAATGTGTGGATGCAGAGACGTAAACAAGAGTGGTGAGTGGTGATGTGCTTCGCTTCAGTGACATGGAGTTCATTAACAATTTTCACCTACTTCAGCACAGAATAGTGACGTTTGTGGCTTGTTGATAACGTTTAGATCGGATGAATGCGCTTTGGCTGTTTAGACTGAAGTCACATGTCAAAAGATCGGATATGTATCGGTTTTAGGACCACATATCCAAGTGGCCTGGGTCGCATTTGAAAAAATCGGATCTGTGTCATTCAGACTGTCATTAAAAGATCAGATACAGGTCACACAGGGGCCAAAAAATCGGATTCCGGTCACTTCAGGCTGCAGTCTGAACGTAGCCTAAATCTTAACAGAATAAAAAAATTGTACATATATAGGCTGCACCTGAATATAAGCTGCAGGTGTTCACGTCTTCAAGAACATTTTCAAGTTCGGGCCGTCTGCTTTTATCGCCTCTGAAAGCTTTTGTTGTCTTTTTGCACTGAGTCAGTTCATCATGCTGCTGTCGCCAAAATCTCATCATCAACTCATTGATGCCGAGTTTACGTGCAGCAGCTCTGTTTCCTTCTTCCACAGCCACATCAACCAGACCTTTAACTTAAAAGCTGCATCATCTGCATTTCTTCGTGAGTTTCGTGTTTCTTCATCCGAGGGTGTGTGCATGAAGAGCAAAACACAATTAAACAAACATCTTCCTCGGCGTGTCACCCATTTCTCTCACTGCGCTCTACTGCACATGTTTCCTGCAGAAAGAGCCTCTGTTCTGTCTGTATCATGTCAGGGTCTTGGAGGATTTCAGCAGATTTCAGAAGCTCTCGAGGGCAGGACTAGTTGTATCAATCAGGTATGAGTGTATGTCCGGCTACTGAAGTTTGAGGTACACACATGGGTTATCAAGACGTATCCCCCTCACTAATGTCCATTTCGCATCATAACTTATTTTATCACACAGCGATAAACTATTTGAGTGCGCTGACAGTGCTAGATAGTGTAACAAGCAACTTCATGTTAACCCTAGATCCATCACATGCAGCTGCGTTTTCTGCACTCTGTTTTCTGTGTGTATCCACTGTGCTGCCAAACCATAGACCGTAAATATGAACAGGCAATGTGCCAAACAAAGAATCCATCCATGTATTCGCTGCATCGTTTTATTAGCCGCAGGGTTCAAAGTGTGAGAAAAAAGTAACAGTATTCTGCTCTCCTTGTGTGTTTCTAACACAATTCAGCAGTAAACGTAACTCCTTTTTGGAAACATGCGCAGAGTCACGATATAGTGTCCATAGCTCCAATTTATTTCTCCACAAGAAGGTTCCAAAAACAGAGTAAAACTGCAAAACAGAAAAAAACTGTACTTAACACAGTGCAAGATATAACTGAAGTTAGCTTAACTCCAGTCCACTAACATGATATGTAATCTTGAATAAAAATGCATTTCTAATAACCATCCTTTTGCAAATAGAACAAAAATATTATAATTCTTAGTATAAAGAATAACTTACAGACAGTGAGGTCAAAGGCACAAACAAAAAGGCAGATGTCAGAGGATGAACATATGTGCTACTGAAGGCAAACAAAAACAACATATGGCTGACTTCCTGTCTCTAACGAGGCCTTCAAAATAAAAGACTGACAGCAGTAAATGCAATCTACTGTAAAAACAACTGTATAGAACAAAATTTTAAACATTTTTAGGGCAAAACAAACAGTTTTAGTCCAGAATTTACGGTACTTCTGCTGTTCTTTGTTATTTTTATAATCGGTGATTCTGCAACATCACATTGTCATTTTGGTGCAAATTTCTGCTCACAAATGTCGGCTGGATGCTCGCTGGTGTTGATGTGCAGCTATCCATCTGAGGTACCAAAAGCTGCATGGCTCTCAACGACATCACAACAAAAAGTCAGTAACTCGGATGGATAACTGCAGATCACACTAGCGAGCAGCAGATTTTATTTCCTTTTTTTGTTTGTTTTTTGTTTATTTATTTACTACATTCATAAAGTATAAAAACACATTAACAATGTCACAACATCAAACATACAAGAAATGAATGAAAATGAGTAGAAAGAAGAGTTGTCTTATGTTATCTGCCTCCTTTTCCCTTTTCCAGACAAAACATCAACACTGATAGTCACTTTAAAACATTTCAGATCAGTGCATTTCAGTTCAGTCACAATCAGTCACATCACTTGCAAACATAAATCTTCACTGTTATGCACAACAGCTTAGTTTTCTTTTTCATACATACACGTTGCACTAGATTTTATGTTTTTTTTTTTTAATGCCATCATTGTACTTCATTCTTTTATATCTTTGTCAAGACTATTCCAAATCACTTTTTTGAAATCACTCCAAATACAACTTCAAGAGGGTAAATGAAGGGGAAACAACTTTAACATGGTCAAAAGATCTGGAAAGTTAATTTTCATAATAGGTCTGCTTTAATAAAACAAAAGAAAATGACTTGTTTTAATTTACTACTGAAACTGTCAAAACAAAACCAGGACAAAATCAAGGGTAATTTTGGCCTAATATCATTAATAAAATAATCTTTACTTAACAAATTATTTTAAAACAGTTTTGTCAGATGGAGATGAGAAAAAGTGTTATTGTGACTTATTGAAAATCTTGCTCTGTACTTTTGCAATATATTGTGCAATCTAATATAAAATAATATGTGTCTTGTAGGTGGCCGGTACCTCACCATCCCTGAAGTGGGCAATAAGAGGACGGGACGCGGTGCCAGGCTGGTGCTGCCCCTGACTCCGCCCTGGAACGATGGGAACCTGTGCCTGTCGTTCCGGCACAAGCTGGCGGGGCACCACGTGGGCATGCTGCAGGTGTTTGTGAAGAAGGGCAAACAGTACAGCCCGGCCGTGTGGGGGCGCACCGGGGGCAACGGCTGGAGGCACACGCAGATCACTCTGTGGGGAACGGGACTCGAGAGTGTAAGTACAACATGGGTAACGCTTAAAATAGGAAATATATTGGAACTATGCTGGATTTTGATTGTAATTATTGCAATGTCTATGTGTGATGTTTAATGGTGCTATGTTACACAACACTGACTTATCAAAAACAAACTGGAGTTGAGCTTTGTTTCATTCACACATGTTCCTTCATAAGAGCTCAAGATGCTCTGTTCCATCTTGTGATGTCATGTATTGGTCATTTTCAAGTTAAAAGCTATTTTTTTACTGTAGCATATCCCTCTAAATGAAGACAGATTTTTAGATTTAATGGCAATAAATCCTCCAATCTGCCATAAGAGCTAAAAGGAAAACAAAATACAGTGTGTAAATACACATACACAAAATTCAGTGCAAATTTAGATTATCATTTACATTCATATAGACAACACCAGTCAACCAAGATAACAGCTAAAAACACAAAGTTATCCAAAACAAATATTTAAATCAATAACATATCTTTGTGCCTCTTCATAGGGGTCGCTAAACAAAGGTATAGAAAATATCTGAAAATATGTAAATATATATTTGCTCTGTATAACGTCTTTTACTGTTCTCGATGTCAAGCTAATTAAACATTTATACATCAGAAAATAGAGTGCAATATAAAAATTTAAAAAATCTAAAGATGTTTTAACAAAGGCAAGTGATACTCTGGGTTATTTACATTTACCTTTAGTTCAGTAAAGACTAGCAATTCCAGGGCTGAAATCATCCAGATGATTCTAGTGAAGGTGTATGGAGTGTTAAAACACAGTGGAGCACTTCCTGTATCACCACATGACATCACCAGGTGGAGTTTTATCCATTTGAGAGAAGAACTAAACAAGCATCTGTGTTAGACGTGTGGATGAAACAAAAGAAAACTCTGGGAAGAAGGCAATAGTTGAGTTTTGTTGTTACAGTAATGATAAAAACTACTAGCATGCTCACATCACACTTCCTGATTCTCAGACAATAAAACTCAACTCAACTATATTTCTAGAATACTTTAAAAACTACACAGTTGACCAAAGTTCTTTCCACAAACAGATAACAAACAGTGACAAATACAAATACAAAACACTTTATAATTGTATGTAGTCAGGACAGAGTGGTCTCATTTGGACCTGATGTTTTTATATATGTACTCGGCCAAAACAAAGTCTGCACGACTACAAGATTAATATTCAGAATAGTCACTATAATTCTGTACAATGCAATTATTCTTACTCTCTTACAGACTTTATACAGATACAAGGGAAAAGACTTGGATACAGGTTGCTCACAAATCAAGTAGTTCTTGACAACAAAACAGAAATGTTAATAAAAAATGAAAACATCAGCATCGCAAATAATTTGAACAATTATTCATATAGCTATTCTTTAATAAAATATAGTTTGACCAAAAGTGGCCTTGTTTTTCTCATATCTCACCTCTCCCTAAAAGATATGTGACAACGTGAGGAGTGTGAGGGCTCCCCAAAGAGACTCTGTAACAGAGATATCAGAGGGGAGACAAGTCAAGTCGACAAGAGCACTCAATCACAGACAATACCACAAGAGGAAAAGACCTGAGCCTGTGGTGGAGTGTAGAGAGTTTGCCACACACAAATGTAACGCTGTAAAAATAGGCTCATTTAGAACCTTGAATGTTGAAGCACACTTGAGATCTGTGCCTAATGTCTGTCCCAGTGATTCTTAACCATAGGGCCACGGCCCAAGTGCCACCTAGAGGGCCGCTAAAAACTTTTAAGTTTTGCACCAGTGGGCCGCGAGGGCCGTGGCACTCTGTCAGGATTGATAACTGGCGGACCGCGTTCTGAGTCTGGACCCAGACGCTAGCTCATAGACATGGACAGGGTCAGCCTGATGTACTCTGTACCTCTTTTACCCGGGAGAACAGAGGTACTGTGAAAGGTATCGTCACCGCGGGCCGTCCTCCTCTCAAGTTATCACCACAAACTCATAAAACAGCAGCATGTACAACTTTTTACAAACTCACCGCACATCAGCCCGGAGCAGAAGCTCTGAGTTCGGTAAACAGCGATAAAGAAACGGAGCACTCACTGTAGCGCACAGACCATCAGGACGGGGCTGGTGGTCCATTTCTTGGTCTTGTGTCGTCCTCCGAGCGTGTTGGTCAGATGGTCCGGAGACTCTGTCCTCCATGTGCTGGTTCCAGATGGGGGCGAGCAAGACTAGAGCGCAGTGGACTGGGTCCAAGCAGTTCCGTGCCATCCTCTGCGCGCTGGTTCCATGCTGAGAAAGCGAGAATGCGCTGTGGACTACAGGTTCAGGTGGGCTGCATCTGTCCTCTGTGCCGCGGACCACGGCTGGTTCCAAGTTGGTGCAAATCATCCGGACAGAAGTGCGAATCCAATTTGGTGCATTAAATGTTGTTCTGAGCGCAGACCGACTTCTGTGCACAACTGAACCGCTGGTTCAAGACTCTGGTTTGGATCTAGGTCAGACTGTAGCATTTCTCACACCAGGATAAATTCTCTTCCTTTCATAAGTTGAATCAATTGAATAGGGCCTATTCAATTTAGAACTTTACACCACTGAATTAATGGACCAAGGAACATACAAACCAATCATGACTCTACATAGTCAATAAAATCTGAATGCAGACACAGAGGAAAGGACTTGAGAGGCACCTCCGGGCCTGTCCAGACACTCAGTCCTGGTTCACTCCTGGTCCCTCATGTCTCAGGTCACGATAGGACAGTACTGCAGATATAATGAGCCTATGCAGGTTATTTTCACAGTTGCCAATAGCTCTGGTTTGACATTTAAGTTGTGAAGTTGAGAAGTAGGCGGATGCTGTACCCCCACTAACATTCCCATTGCTGTTCCTAGGTCATCCTGAAGGGGGAGCGCGGGCGTGGCCGGAGCGGAGAGATGGCCGTGGACGACATCACGCTGAGGAAAGGCTCGTGCACAGAGGAACACAATCTGAGGAGACTCTGACTGGGCTCGCGCAACGGACCGGAGACACCAGGAGGGGGCGATCTCAAAGACACGTGACTGATGTACTGATGCCCCCTCTGGTCCTGCCTCGTCCCTCAATTTACCCCCCCTCATTACCACGGTTACCCCGCTCAACCACCGGGCCACCCTCACTTTTGATTTTCTCATTTTGTAACCTGCATGCACCTGCTACCCAAGGAGATGTCTGGCAGTGATTCAGTAGGCACAGTGGGCATCCAAGGGGGAAACGTACCATTCTTTTGCTGATTTTGAGTTATATTTTGACAAATACAAACACAAAGACATGAAGAATGATAAAGTACTCCGATGTTTAGCAAAAGAAACATTCAATTCTGTCAACTGTTTTTTTCTTTTCCATGCTTTTTTCCAGTTGACAGAATTGAAATTTCCTTTTGCTATGGATCCTACTTGGACGACTGAAAGACACACGCCAACATTTGTGTAAATATCCACGAATGCGAACGGTAGCTTAATGCTCGCAACAAGCTCTCTCAGAGCTCTCTGTAGCACTCTCTGTACGGGGAGTGACTTAGGCTACATTCACACTGCAGGGATTAATGCTCAGTTCGGATTTTTTCATGAAATTAGATTTTTTGCGAGGTCGTTCACATTTCCAATTAAATGCGGCTTGTATGTGATCTCCAGTGTGAACTTTAAACGCCTCAAAAGTGTCCCGTGTCCCAAAGTGTTTACGGAAGTCGCCTAAACATGGACGTGAGCATTGAGCACCTGGAGATTTTAAAGTTGCTGTCGTACCAGAGCCAGAACATGTACAGCTTATTTGTTTTAAGGAAGAGATTGAGAAGGAGAAGGACGAGGTTTTTGGCCATGGCGTTTTATGGGGCATTGGCAACAACGTCCGTAGAGTTCATTCACAAATTTAGTATGACGAGAAGAACGTTTGTGTACATTTGTGAGCACCATGTTTGTGGCTTTCTTCCAGTTTCCGCTTACTTCAGTGCAAATTAGTGACATTTATCGCTTGTTCGTGACGTGTAGTTGGGATGAACGTGATCTGGCCAGACTGAAGTCGCATGTCAAAAGATCAGATATGTATCGGTTTTAGGACCACATATCCAAGTGGCCTGGGTCATATTTGATAAAATCGGATCTGTGTTGTTCAGCCGGTCATTAAAAGATCAGATACAGGAGCATAGGGGCGAAAAAATTGGATTTGGGTCGCTTCAGGCTGCAGTCTGAACGTAGCCTTTGTGCGAGGAGTAAGGGGAGGGGGACTCAGAGCATCAAAAACAAACAGAAACTAGTTACACATTTTAACACATTATTTTCACATCATATTATTTCAAACCAATAAAAGGTCCAAATATGTTTAAAGGCTCATTTATATGTTCTGGAGCAAGGGTGTCAAACTCAAATTCACATAAAATAAAACAAAATTAAAAACTGGGACTAAGTCGTAGGCTAAAATAAATATTGAAAATATTTCAACAACATCTGCATGTTTTCTCTTCTTTCGAGATTTGTAATGTTAAACATTTTCTTATTAAAATAAATGTTTAAGAATAGTTTTGCTTAAACTTTCAATCCTGAACAAGCATAATGTAAAATAATAACAACATTTTAAATAAATAATGTCTCTATAGCCTATCTGTTCTAATACATATTTGATATGATCTCGCAGGCCAAATATCATTATATTGCAGGCCAAAATTGGCCCCTGGGCCTGAGTTTGACATGTCTGCTCTAGACGCATACAGATACACATGGAGGCTTTGATCCATCCTCTGCATTACTCTGTCCGCTGTTTGGTCCGTCGTTTCAGAACATGTAGAATCTTAGTGACTTAGAGCTGTACATGAGCTGACCACTGGGGGCAGTAGTGAACACAGCGCCACAATATAAACTAAACTTTTAAAACAGTGAGCTGCAAAACAAATAAATGATTCTCAACTCTTTTTTTAACAGACGTAATCTAAAAAACCCTGTGAGCACCTCCGCATTGTTTATTTTTTGTTGCTCAATTTCGTCTGTTTTGGTCAATTCTCAGACTGTCATTTAGCGCCCTCTGGTGATTGTTTATGAGAACACATTAAAAACGATTAGAAGTATAAACGCAGTGCTACGCTGCCATACAAAGGCAAAAGACCTTAACACGCCAGAGTGTGAAACTGAAAAAAATGACTTCATGACTTTCTGTTTTGTTCAGACAAAAGTATAACAGGTAGAGCTCCCAAAATTTGTCAACTAGTTGCTATAATGAAGAAATATTTGTATGTGAAAAATGTTGAGCTCAAAATTGCCCTTTGACCCTTTATTTGGCATTTCCTCTCCTCTTTGTATCATGTGCCAAAAATAAGGAGTCTTGCAAAGGCTGTAACTGTAACTTTATCAGTATTTGCTTGATTTCCCCTAGAAGATGTCCATCCATTATTAGAAAACCTCACCAAAATCTAGTCTAGTCATGGTGTTTGTTTGAAATGATATTGAAGACCTTTGGATTTCCTGTTTAGTGCTGATCAGGATCGTGCGGCGACACTTACACAGTTAAAAAGTTTGACACACAAGTTATTTTGCAGAATAGTTTGTACAGTATAAATAAATACACAAAATACTTTCACATTAAAGATAATTTAAGTATAATTGAATACAAAGGTTTATATATTTAATGTGTTAAGACCCTGTGCCAAGCCGCAACAAAAAGAAGAAGGCGAGAGGTTGGATTTTAAAATAACATATATTTATTAACTAAATCACAAACAAAACATACACAGTTACTGCCTTTTCTCTTTGCACAACTCCTTACTTTTGGCTCATGATGATGAAAGGCAGAGAACAGGAACCGGACAAATAAGGGACAAATGGCGGTTTTGAGCGCAATATTTTTCACGATATTTATTCACATGATAAAGGAGAACACATTTTTGACCAAACATGATGTTGCGATCTGTTTACGTACAAAAATCTAGCATAAATAACCGCATCGAAGTGTAATACAACATCTTTAAAATTATTATCTGCTAGAAAAGTTGCGTTTCTCAAATCATCTCACCAAACTCAGACCAGGATCCGACTATGCCGCGTCGCTGTATCTATAGCAATCCTAAGAGTCATACTTTTTTTTGTTTTTGTGCACATAATTTATTCCCACTCAGAGAAAGCCACATTAAGGCGTCAGCACTGCCTTTGATTCTTTACCCAGAAGCCATTTCCTTTTAATTGGTAGACTTAAAACATTTGACCAGAGGGGCTTCCCTATCAGCAAAATAAGGGCGGTGGGTTTTAAGCCTGGATTAGACTAATACATATGTAAAGGATTCTTCTCTCCTTGTCTTATCCTCAAATCGGATAAAAAACTAAAACGATTCACAAAAGAAAAAAAACAAGAAAAAATCAGCTCGGCGCCCTTCCCCCACAGCGATTTTGAATAAAGCGGCATTTCTCCTTTTTTTTTTTTTCTTTTTTTGGTAACTTTGGGCTGTCCTAGTTTTTCATTTGAAAGAAGACACTGAATCATTTAGCTAATTCTCCATCATCGTGTTTTATTGAAATCTCACACCAAACTGTCAACTCTCCTCAACTCTTTTCAACGCTTTTCAGATACTTGAAACATGTCACATTCGAAACATAACTTTGCCACTTTGCGGAGACACTTTTTGTTCCTTTTACAGCTCGGTATGTGCTTTATTATATTCAGTGAAGTTTGTTATAAAGACCACTTTTTAGGCTATCACAAAATGTACAATGTAATGTAATGTTGTGTGTCTGTACATAACTCTCGTGCTGTGTTTTCTATAGTATTCGTTCGATGAATATTCATTGGACTCCTGGCAGTGTTCCTACAAATGAACCTTGTGGATTGGGGACGGCGTTTCTCTGTGTTTTGGTGCAGTACCGCTTGTGACCTGCAGAGCACATAGTTGCATTTGTATGTTGTTCTAGTGAAGGCCATAGGAGTTCAAAGGTTCTGTATGCATGGGGCTATTCGCCACATTCAAGATAACACTGTTTCCTATGTAAATAAAAAAAAAATTAATAAAAATCAAAAAGGCGTATGGGTGATTTTAACTACTGATGTATCCTTTTTTTTAATCATTATTATTTTATTTATTTATTTATTTACACTTCCAGTCAAACATTTGGACACTTGTTGACACATACATATGGGAATATGTAGTAAAGAAAATTTAAGTAAATTTACAGACAAAGCAAAGGGTGGGTACTTTGAGGATTTGATTATAAAATGTATATGTATAAAAAAATATATATATTAGAGACTTTTTTTCTTCTGTTTGTATATCAAATGTGGAAAGTAGTAAAAAATAAAGAAATAACTGTAGTGGTGCAATGTAAAAGTAGTAAAGTACTGCACTTAAGTATACATTTTAGGTCAAAAGTTTGGACATTCTCTCATTCATTGTTTTTATTTTTATTTTTATTACTTTCTACATTTCATACATACAGAAGACATCAAATATACAAAGTAAAATATATGAAGTAAAATATATGGGATTATGTAGTAAAGAAAAGAAAAGGAAAAGTGAATAACTCTACTAAATATTTACAGACAAATCAAAGGATGGGTATTTTGAGTGAAATGCATATATATTTTAAAATTATATATATTAGAGACTAACATCCATGTTCATTTTCTCACGTTTTCTCTCCATGGACAAGTCACGGCTGAATTTGAACTTGTTTCCCTTTGTGCTGGTTACTGGTATCGTATTTTACGGACTATAAGTCGCTCCGGAGTATAAATTGCACCAGCCAAAAATGCGTAATGAAAAAGAAAAAAACATATATAAGTCGCACTGGACGATAAATCACACTTTTTGGGGGAAATTTATTTTATAAAATTAAGGACCAGAAACCGAATTTTATCTTGAAAGTCAAGTTATAGTAATAACAATAGATAAAGAACAACAGGGTGAATCGGCGTCTGGTATGTTAATGTATCGTATGTTAATACTCCGCGCCAACTTTGTCACTTTGTCACTGAAGTCCAGGCATGGTGCACCCTCCCGGTTGCCGTGAAGCTGTGTTCGCCATCCTCGCTTTCCGTCAGTCCCTCACAAGTTTCTCGCTCGCTCCAAACTTTCTTTCTGCTGCTCGATTACCATTTTAGGCTGAATATTTCACCACTTGCAGCAGGACAGG